CCACGCCTGCTAGGCCCTGCGACATTGGCGCGTATAGAGACCGCGGTGAGAAACCACCCCCGGCGCACCCCCTGTGGTGCCGAGTAAATTCCACGCCTGCTAGGCCTGGACGAATGGGGCTATAGAGACCGCGGTGAGAGACCACCCCCTGCGCACCCCCTGTGGTGTCGAGAAAGTGCCACGCCTGCTATGCTGGACGACCTGCGGCGTTATAGAGACCGCGGTGAGAGACCACCCCCTGCGCACCCCCTATGGTGTCGAGAAAGTGCAACGCCTGCTATGCCAGGACGACTGGGACGTATAGAGACCGCAGCGAGAGACCACCCCCTGCGCACCCCCTATGGTGTCGAGAAAGTGCCACGCCTGCTATGCCTGGACGACCGGCGCGTATAGAGACCGCAGCGAGAGACCACCCCCTGCGCACCCCCTATGGTGTCGAGAAAGTGCCACGCCTGCTATGCCTGGACGACTGGCACGGATAGCGGCCGCGCTCAGGGACCACCCCCTGCGCACCCCCTATGGTGTCGAGAAAGTGCCACGCCTGCTATGCCTGGACGACTGGCACGGATAGCGGCCGCGCTCAGGGACCACCCCCTGCGCACCCCCTATGGTGTCGAGAAAGTGCCACACCTGCTATGCCTGGACGACTGGCACGGATAGCGGCCGCGCTCAGGGACCACCCCCTGCGCACCCCCTATGGTGTCGATAAAGTGCCACGCCTGCTATGCTTAGACGACTGGCACGGATAGCGGCCGCGCTCAGGGACCACCCCCTGCGCAACCCCCTGTGGTGTCTAGAAAGTGCCACGCCTGCTATGCCTGGACGACTGGCACGGATAGCGGCCGCGCTCAGGGACCACCCCTGGCACCCCCTATGGTTCGAGAAAGTGCCACGCCTGCTATGCCTGGACGACTGGCACGGATAGCGGCCGCGCTCGGGGACCACCCCCTGCGCACCCCCTATGGTGTCGAGAAAGTGCCACGCCTGCTATGCCTGGACGACTGGCACGGATAGCGGCCGCGCTCAGGGACCACCCCCTGCGCACCCCCTGTGGTGTCTAGAAAGTGCCACGCCTGCTATGCCTGGACGACTGGCACGGATAGCGGCCGCGCTCAGGGACCACCCCCTGCGCACCCCCTGTGGTGTCGAGAAAGTGCCACGCCTGCTATGCCTGGACGACTGGCACGGATAGCGGCCGCGCTCAGGGACCACCCCCTGCCCACCCCCTATGGTGTCGAGAAAGTGCCACGCTTGCTATGCCTGGACGACTGGCACGGATAGGGGCCGAGCTGAGAGACCACCCCCTGCCCACCCCCTTTGGTGTCGAGAGATTGCCACGCCTGCTAGGCTTTGCGCCAGTGTCGTGGATAGCGGCCGAGCTGAGAGACCAACCCCTGCGCACCCCCTGTGGTGTCGAGAAAGTGCCACGAGCTGTGCTGTGCTGTGCTGAGCTGAGCCGTGCTGGGCTGTGCTGAGCTGTGCTGAGCTGTGCTGTGTGCTGAGCTGAGCTGAGCTGAGCTGTGTGCTGTGCTGAGCTGAGCTGTGCTGTGCTGTGCTGTGCTGTGCTGTGATGTGCTGTGCTGTGCTGAGCTGTGCTGTACGAAGGGTGAGGTGTGTGTGTGTGAGTGTCGCGGGTGCGGCGCGGCAGTGAAGAAAACCAGAACCCCACGAAGCATGTGGGGAAAAACATGAGACCATCCGTCGGCCAAACTACACAGAACATCCCAGGGTCCCCTCCCCAGGATGCACAAGAACTTCCAACAACCATACATAACACTAGGGTACCCTCCCCGAACCGACCTCGATCATATATCTCGGTCCGACTGTACACTCATACACCCTTCCTCCTCCTCTTCCTCTACCCTCCCTCCTCCTCCTCCTCCTCCTCCTCCTCCACCTCCTCCTCCTCCTCCTCTCTCCGCCTCCTCCTCCTCCTCCTCCTCCTCTTCCTCCTCCCTCCTCCCTCCTCCCTCCTCCCTCCTCCTCCTCGCGAGCCCGAAGAGGCCCCCCGTCAGCCAGCTGAGGCTCAGGACCACGGCGGTGTCAAGGATCTCCTGGGAGCGCCGCCGTGAAGGGATCGGCGCACGCGGCTTTCGAACGCTTTTCTGCCTCTCTGCGGCCTCTGGTGAGTATCGTTTGGCCGTTCCCCCTCCCCACGGGCGCGGCCCGGGGCCCGCTGGCCGGCTTGCCCCCCCAGGCGGGGATAGAGCAGGGATCGATCGGAGAAGACACGTGAGAGGACACGATACCCTCACGAGGGCCACGCCGCCACAGGAATGGAGAAGGCACGGGTCGCGAAGCACAGGGCACGAGGGTGCCCTTGACTAGGCAAGGTCGACCTACACATCAACCTCGACTGCATGTGCTGTCCGCTTCGGTTTCGAGCGGCCTAACTATCCCCACCAGGGTGGGCGGGATGGCGAGGACGAGACACCAAGGCCCGGTGGGGATGGCGATCGGTATGCTGATCTGGGGGCCGTCTCGTCTCCGCGGCTGGATT